GGACTTGGGCCTGAGACTGCATTTTGTTCCTTCTCTTTGTCATTTTGTATGCCACTATCTTCTGACCTTTGATGTAGAGCTTAGATAGAGTATTACCTTAGCACCAGGTCCAGATCTACGAAGTTCAGATTCCTCCAGGTGGTTGTTGCTTGGGTCTGGCTCTCTGGTCTGGCTGCTGTGCTTCACTTCTTCCTGCTGCAGCCGTTAGAGTTGGACCGCTTGTGTCACTCTGGCAAGATGTTCTGCTCCTGAATCAGCTGGGTGGGTCTTGCCTCTAGCCTCTTTGCAGGGAGTTCTGCTGAAGGGCTCCTCACTGGGCCTGCACTCTGGGTCAAATGAGGATCTAGTGGGCCCCAGGTGGTCTCATTCATACACCAGGCCTGTGCTCTGGGTCGATTCTGGATCTGCAGGCACTGGGTCGTCTCCCTCACATGCTGGCCTGCGCTCTGGGTCTATTCGGGATCTGGCAGGCCCGGGTCGTCTCACTTGGCGTGTATGTTTTAAAAGATGTAGTAAGATTAGTTGCATATTTTTAAAAATCAAGCAATACAAAACATACAAAGAAAAATAGTTCTTTGTCCCTTCCCTTGTGATTTCTTTAATAATATTGCAATTTTTAGTTTTCTGTGAATTTTCCCATACTTCCGGATAATATATTTTTTTTTTTTTTTTTGTGGCCAGCTCAGTGCACCCTAGGGGTGGGGCTAGTGCAGCATGTGGTGCCAGGAATCGAACTGTGGTCCCTGTGTGCTTGTCTAAGCACGTGCTTTAGAAAGCTGAGATATCTTGTTGGCCCCAAGAAATTTATGTTTTCTTTATGGGATTTAAGTATTATACAATTTTAGCTGTGATATGTAATAATTTAAATTTCATATGTTATTTCCTTTCCCCAAATAGTAATTTAGTTTTTGATTATATGAGTTAAATCATTTGAAGTTACAGAGATTATATAAATAGTAATAGCCAATAAGTCACAGTAGTGTATGCTTGTACTTGCACTCATACAAAAGTTTTATTTTGGGGGCAGTGGTATCTGTTCTTCATTTGCTTAAATTTCTCTGTACTTTTCCCAGTTCTGTCCATTATTATGAGCTCCATTTCATGGATGATGCCACTGTTCTGCTGTTAAGTTCCTTACACTCTCGTTTCCATGGTCAGTAGCTGAAGTCATTCACATACCCTTAGCTTTCTTATCCCTCCCATCATTTTTGTCACTTATTTGACAAAATCCCAACCATCTGCCTGCTCCCTGCTTGTACCCAAGCAGCACGAGCTGTTAGAGAAAACTCACATCTGTGTGTGTGTTCTCACTTGAAGGCTGCAAATCTCATATGGAGATGATCTTGGCCAACACTTCTGTGATGTGTTTGCTTTTCTAGTCTTTATACTCACTTTTTCAAGTCTTATTTCTCACAATTCCAGTGCTAGTCTCCTCACCATCAGCTTGCTTACTACTGTAGTAAAATATTAGCTATCATAAGTGCTTATGTGCATCATTGTCTATGTACTCTGCTGTCTGTCCCATTAAAACCAAGTATTACTAAAACAGTTTAAATCAGTCCTTTCACTTGTGCCCTAGATTCCATCCTTTCTTATGTCCTGCAATTGATAAATTTTCCTTTATATTGCGTTACAGGTCACTCCTTCCTTGCTATATTGTTACTGGTATATAACTTGTCTTAATATCATTCATTTTATTTTTTAAAATAATTTTATTGAGAAACAAATAGCAATGAGAGTTTCAAAACCAATTAGGACAGTTTCAATAATTAATACATTGCAAATTGTTGTCTTCTGAGTGGTTATTCATAGTAAAAGATGCAGACATGATACCCTGTCCACAAACACTATTAGAACAATTCTTTCTATTGAATTAAGAGAAAGTAGCTGTATATCTATCGTAACTATTTTGAATATAAAGATACAAAATGGTCCTTCATTTGTATCCCCTTTTTTGTTTAGTTTTGTCAGAGAAGGATATTCCATTGTCATTTAAATATTGTAGGTGTGTGAATTCAGCAAAATATTCCAGTACAGTAATTATTCATTTTATTTTTTTCTAATTCATTTTAAAACAAAAAATTTCAGTTCTTTTGATCCCAGGGCTCCTTGTATCCACATAGATAAAGCTCTTTAAATGACTCCAAAATGGTCATTCATTACCACCACTACAGAGAGCTTATCTTTGTCTGACCAAATCCTGTGTTCTCTTTTCTCTGTAACCTGTATGCATAATTAGACCTACTTGATCACTGTTTTCAGATACTTTTTCCTGACACTGTAGTCTTAGCTTCATTTCCACATTACTGGTTAGTCCAATTCCCCTGCTTCTCCATATGCTTTCTAAGTTTATTTTCTCTAGAGCTGTGCTTTTAATACCAACTGAGCACTGATGAAATCTAAATATATCTTCTGTCCTGATTCCATTTTTACCTTCTAGATTGAAGCAGATGCCTTGAGATACTCAATTGGATGAATGAAGAAATTATGAACTTAATTATATTATAAATCTTTTCCTTAAACATGGAGCAAAGTCTGCTTCCTCTCAAGAAATGATACCATCTTTTGTCAGTTGTCCATATGTAAAACCTAAAGATGAGCCATTATGGTTGTATATACCTCTAATTCCAGCACCTTGGGAAACTGAGGCAGGTAGATCATAGGTTCAGGCCAACCTGGAATACAGTAATGAATTCAAGGCTAGACTAAAACATAACAAGACCTGTCCAAAAAAAACAAGACACACACCAAGTACTTTTCTCTTGTACTCCTATTCACCCCTACTTTCTGAATGTATTCTGATTTCAATAACTTCTATATCCCAGTGTTATATAGTCCCAGTCCAAGTCACTGTCATTTCATGCTTGGTTTGTTTATTCAGTAGAATCAGTTAGTATCTGGTCTTCATTGATGATTGTTCACAGAGCTCCTCTGCCTCTACCCTGCGGTTATCATGCGTACATACATTTACAGAACAGTTAGGTATTTGTGCCCATCAGTGTTCTAAGTTCCAAAGAGGGCCAGCCAGATAGTGGATTAAAGCACCTGCAAGCAGGCGTAGGGGCTGGGGGTTCAATCCCCAGGACTGCCGTGTTGGCCCCGCCCCTGGGGTGCAATGAGATGGCAATTGAGACTGGGCGTGGTGGCATGCACTTGTAATCCCAGGTCTTGGGAAGCTGTAAACAGGCAGATCACTATGAACCCAATCTAGTAGTGAGAACCTGAACAACCTGTATACCCTTCCCTAAAATGCAAAAAAAAAAAAGAAAAAAAAAATCAAAAGATTAAACAGTGGGTACAAAGTATATAAATACTCAGTACATAAGCCAAGATGCATATAGAATGCCAGGTGGTGTTAAGTAACATGAGGAACAAAAACATTAGGCTTGGGGATATAAATGCTTTAGAGCTTGCATGGAGAAAATCTAGATGAGAAATTAACAGAGTAGAAGCTTGAAATAGATCCTTGTAAATGTTTCTAAAAAGTTATTTTGGGGTGAGGTCAACATATACAAAAGTCCTGAGGAGGGAAGATATATGACGTGTACATAATAAGATGGAGTAAAAGTAATGTAGCTAACGTGAGGAGTGGTTGGCAGCTAGTTTGGAGAGGGAGACCAGAAGTCAGAGTTATAAAATTTCTAGATTCTTAACATGAACAGCATCAAATTCATGTAAGTACTATATCCCAAAATTTTGTATCCCCAAAGGGACCTCTTACTGTCCAGTTTCTTAGCATTTATCATGACGCCCTCCATTTGATTTCCCACATTCACATCACATCCCTCTGAAAACACTGTAGACTCCATCTTCAAAATCTGTATTCTCAAAAAATAAAATAAAAACAAAATCTATATTCTCACCACTCCTCACCCTTTCACAGTGTTCTGTAGTTTAGTTCATCACCAGCTCTCACTCCTGCAGTCAGTCCCAGACAGGTCATCCACCCACACTTGTTCCTGCTGTAATCTATGCACCACCACAGGCAGATGGATTTGAAAATGAGTCAAGTCACGTTACTTCCTGAGACCCACTAAGCTCTCCCTTAGGGGCTATAAACCTAGGATCCTCTTTCATTCAAGTTTAAGTGGACATAAAGTATAAACTTCACCTAGAAGATAATTTTACATCTGTGCAACATTTGTGATTTTAAAGACTGAAAACGTGAGTCATATAATGCCTATGAGTTCTTTGAGATCAAGAATATTGCGGGTGTTCTGTTTTTGTTCTGTGTGTATATAGTACCTCCCATGAATTTAATTTTCACTGTTTTTCTTAAGACTCTAGAAATTTTGTTGTAATTCTGAGAACTTCTGTAACTACCTGTCGCTCTAGTATGTTTCTTTCTACATTTTTATAGGAATTAGAACATGCCAGAAACTTGATTTCTTGATGAAAACAAATACTACATTTATTTTTTTTTTTTTTGGTAGAAGGAGTCCAACAAATGACTTAATTGTTTATGACTCAGCAGCGAATTAATTTAAAACATGATTTTGGGACTGGGGATCTACATGTGAATAAGTTTTTCTTTACCGTGAGCTGTACACATGGATTTCCTATCATTTTGAGTATTTCAGAAGGCTTAGCCTTTGCAGTTTAACAAGTTGTAAGCAGATGATGTTTTTAAAGTAAGTCTTCCTGCAGCTTTGTCAGCAAGCAGTAATACTGCATATATTCACTTAGGAATGTGAGAACACTTTATAAATGGGAATTACTGTTATTTTTTTTTTCAGAAGCATTAGTCTTATTTTAAAAATAAACATATTAAATGAAGGTATGCTTAACCTGCCCAAGGACAGGCAGTTGAAATTAAGAACAGAGACAACATTGGGTTTTAAGAATATTTCTATAAGGAAAGTGTCAAGATGTGATACCGAGTTAGAGTAACCTGAATGACATTCCATTTCTGTGCTCCTATAATTAAATAGTGATTTTGTGAGAGAAATATAAAGGTTTTGGTACTACTCAAGTGTCTGATTATCCCTGTTTTTGTGTAGGAAGATTTTCAGTCAATGACGTATGGCTTTAAAATGGCTAACAGTGTGACAGATCTTCGAGTTACAGGTAAAACCATTTATAAAGGTAATTTACAAATTTTGCATTTGTTTCCCTTTTAAAGGTAATTGTTTCTCTTTCTAGGCATGCTAAAGGATGTGGAAGATGACATGCAAAGAAGAGTAAAGGTATATATGTCTTCTGTGCATGGTGATGTATGGCTGTTATGTTCCTAAATGTCAGTTTAATTAAAATTAGCTAGTTTAGGGCTGGGGATGTGGCTCAGTGGTAGAACTCCTGCTGTGCATGCACAAGGCTCTCTAGCATCACATACACATAGAAAAAAACCCTAGCTAGAATAGGTATTAACCACGTGTGTCTTTTACGTGTGTCTTTTTGTTAGAGAATCTGAAAACTGTTAGTAAAAGTTTTCGATAATGTCATTTTTAACTATTGAAAATTAACTCATTTCAGTTTTTGTCAGTGTTTTTGACTTTTAGTAGGCTATTTTTAAGAATATGTTTTTCTCCATTAGAATTCTATAATTTTGGGGCCGGGGAGATAGCTCAGGAGAATAAGCACTTGCCTGGCAAGCTCAGGGTCCTGGGTTCAATCCCCAGTTCCGCAAAAAAAAAAAAAAAAAGAAAAGATAAAAAGGGTATAATTTTAAGTTGCTCAGAGGTAAGGACTGTCCTCTTCAAATCTGTAGAGGTAGGAGTGAGTGTAGTGTTGGGGTTACTGTACGGTGGGCAGCTGAGCATTTTGTGGCAGCACTGGTTGTTGAAGGCCGTGCTGACACCCATCAGCTGTGTTGACCCTCATGATTTCCTCCTCATAGAAATTAAGATAGGAAAGATGTTTTATTTCTGCTATTATTTTGCACTTATATGACAGCCTAAGTGTGAAATAACAAGGTATCACTCTTTAAAAATTTTTTACTATTATTCAGTAAATTAGGCAATTAAATGCATAGTGCCAGGTTGGTGATCACAAGTTGGTACCTATCCTGGGAAATTTAGAGACTTAGTGAGACAGTCTTAAAAATAATAAGAGGGATGTAGCTCTGGATGTAATGTAGTATGAAGACCCTGGTACTAGTACTGTAAACATAATAACATATATACTTACCCCCCTTTTGGTAGAGAAAAATGCAGCTCAAAGGAGTTAAGTGAAGCTGTCTCAGGCTTAAGGACATATATTTGGGAAATGTAGCTTTAGGACCAGAACCCACATATGCTACCAGATTTTCCTGTGCTGGTACCTTGGAATTTTAGCAAGTGAAATAGCTGTAACTTTTATTAAGCTATATTGCATTTTAGTGTAAAAAACATTAGTATTAACTGCGAGATTTTAAATTTTTCTTTTTTCAGAACTGGGGATTGAACTCAGGTCCTTGCGCTTGCCAGGCAAATGCTTATTCTACTGAGCCGTCTCCCTGGCCCCGAGATTTTAATTTTTCTGCTGTGATTTGTAAAAGTTGCTGTTTTGTTTTTTTTTTTTCCTGAGAGGTTTAAATTTTATTATTTATTTATTTATTGTTTGGTACAGGGTCTCACTCTCACTATGTAGCTCAGACTTGTAGTGATCCTCCTGTCTTGGCCTCCCAGCACTGGGATTATAGGCATGCACCACCAGGCCTGGTTTCAGTGGTTGGCTCAGCATGGGGCTGGCATGGCATGTGATACCAGGAATCAAACCCAACTCCTTAAATCCATGAGCTATCTCCCCTTCCCCTAAGAACATTAGTTTTGAGAGTATCAGTGGTTACAACTCAAATCCCTTTATAGGAAAGTAGAACTGTATGTCATATGCTTTTGCTTAAGTTATTGGTTTGCCTTTGCTATTTGAATTCCTGATTATTTTTGTGGTCTTTATTTCCAAATAAGCTTTCTATATATAACATTAATAGTAGTGAAATAGGGCTGGAGA